TACAAGTAATAGTTAAAAATAACTCCCAAAATACTGGTTAAATCTATCTATAATGATTTTATTCTTGTAATTGTACTGTAGAAATTCTCTACATTTACTGGTCTTTTATCGAAAAACTATAATTTTCTCTTTTGAATTGACAAGCCGTGATACAAAAATTTCTTACACAGTGTTCAAGTTCCTTTTCTTATTTTTTGCTTCTTGGCTGATAAAATCGTTTTATTTAACTACATTGATCATTTCTTGTCGCAAATAATATTCAGTTGAGGCTAAAAGAACTCAGGAGAGTTGTGGAAAACCCTCGAAGTAATAATCGATTATACGCCTCTCTCAACTAAATAAAAAAATTACTGAACGGTTTCGGTTTTACCCCTTGATCCCTTTCTTCCATCCACCGCCACCCACCCCTGCCCCCCTCCTCTTCCTCTGCCGTGCCAAATATAGAACTTTTTATCTCTAGCCTTGGTTGGTACTGGGAAGCGGCGATCGTGGGGAGAAAAAAGTAGCCAGTTTTTACATAAAAATCACGTTAAGCTATCATAACCCAAACTCTGTCGCTGCTGTAGCTGTTGCTTTTTAAGAATTTTAAAAAACTTTTAACCTTTATTGAAACTTCGTTTTTACATAGATGATTAGGTTGTCTTGAAAGTAGCTCGAAGACTGCGCCAATCGCGGCAAGCCAGACTGCACACAGGCAAATTTCTTTCATAAATACGTAAGCAATATATGTACCCATTACAATTCATACTATCGATTGATCAGGCGTATTCCGGAATAAGAATTCGCAGAAATTGTTGAAAAATCCCTTCGACCGCGAAGTTTTGATAGCATACCTCCTGCTTCATCTCGTGTGAATCGTCTGTGGTTGTAACCACTCTTCATCGCCGAACTCGCCATGAGGGTGTTCTCTCCTGAAAGAGAGGAACTCACAGGACATTTCATCATGAATATGGATATACGCTTCTTTGGGAGAACGCAAGATTATAAAGAACTATAACCCTAAGGTTGCTTTTCTTTTAAGAAAACACAGAACTCTATCCTTGAATATATAAACGGATTAATTAAAATGTTTTTCTTTACCAAAAGATTGGAATACATAGAGAGAATGCAAAAACTCGCAAATGTATTCATTACTTCATGTACATCAAACTTTTGGCCACGGATCTGAAAATAGGTACAACTGATAAGCAGTTTCTCTTGAAAATAATGAAGCTAGTTGTTTGCAGTTCCGCAATTTTTATTAAAATAATCCAAAACTTAAGAATTGCAAAACTAGTCAGTGATCAGAAGCCTTTTGGGGCCGGTGTTTTTCTTAAGTCCAAACGGCTCGACCGGTTTGTGTTTTAACATTACATAAACTAAGGCCTGTTTAAAACGTTTAAAACGCAAGCCTTGCCGTACTACATGGCAGTAGCTCGACTTCGCTAGATTTCAAACGTCGTGCTACTCAATTCATAAATTAAAAATACATTAAAATACAAAAAAGTTTGCTATACCGTTTCTTTATTATTGTATTTTGTTTTACGTACATATATACAAACATACATACTTTAGTGTTACCTCCGATTCATCGATCCCCAAAGGGGCTTTTCAGGAACAATGATTATATTGCATCATCTATAATAACTGATTACAACTGAACACTTAATCTAATACTAATTAAAATGTTAGCTAATTGTAAATGTTTTAAACTTAACTAAGAAGTATTCAAAAAATTATCTAAAAGCTGGCTCCTTAGGGATCGTTTAAAAATTTCAACAGATGGGCTTAACTTAAGAAAAGATTCCAAATTGTTCCAAAGTTTAACAGGCCAGTAATAAAAGGTTCTCTGTCCAGAGGCAGGTCTGAAAAGAGGGATGTTTAGCTCTTGGCTACTCCGAGTTTTTCGCTCGCTAACTTGTTCACGGGTAATAAATTGGGATGTAAGATATTCAGGGGCTTGACCGGTCATGCATTTGAAGGCCATAATAGCTTGGCGATAGTACAGTTGGTCCTTAACAGGCAACCAAGACAGGCTTTTTAAGAGGGGTGTTACATGATCATATTTTTTCGCACCGCTGACGATTCGGCAAGCAAAGTTTTGAACGGCCTGCAATTTTCTAACATTCTTATTTGTGGTATTTGCCCAAACATTCGAACAGTAGTACATTTTGCTGAAGACTAAGGCATGTATTACGGCTAACAACGTATTTTTGTCTAAGCAATGTTTGACCCGGTTAATTTGCGCTAGACGTGCGATACATTCCGACACTGAGGTCGTTATATGGTCATCAAATGTTAAGTTCGGATCCAAAATCACGCCAAGCTTTCTCGCTGATTGCACTGGGGAAGAGTCCTTTCCCAACAAAGACAAGTGAAATTCATGAAGCTTAGAGGTCATCTGTCAGCTCCCGAAAACAATTAATTTTGTCTTGTCTGGATTCAGTAGTAGCCAATTTCCGAAGCACCAGTTGCGCACCTGCAGGAGATCTTCATTCATTTCTTGGACAATCCGTTGGGAGTCGTGTAAATTAAAAGAAACAAACAGTTTTGTATCGTCTACATAACATTCTGTAGAGCAATGCTTTGGAACTTCTGGTAGATCATTTACGTATATGCTAAATAAAAGGGGGCCTAGAATACTGCCGTGAGGGACGCCACATTCAACGGGAAGAGGATCAGAAACGGAACTATGAATTCGTACAACTTGGTTTTCTGCAACAGCCGTTCATTCGACTGAATTAAATTCGAGGTCTGAAACCAGGCCGTGCTAGTGTCGTGCTGCAGTCGAGCTACAGTCGAGCTAGCTTAACACGGCAGTAGCACGACGTTTGAAACAGGCCTAATGAGTCCATTCCATCAAAATTCAAACTGACTAGGAGGCAAGATGGACATAAAGGCACAAGTGATATAAGTTGCTGCAAATTTTAACGAAAGATTTTAGTTGTTGCAAATCCATTGGCAGGACTTGGTTAGAATGGATTCGGAATCTAAACACGTGTAGCCAGCTTGCCTATTGCAACTTTGAATCAAAACAAGAGATCTCGATTACTCTACTTAGGCCACGCCCTAGTAATAAAACGCTGAGGTCTGCTAAATATCATTATATTTAAACTTTGGCTATAAAACAAATAAAGGAGACTAACTTTTGCTGTATTCCTGTGTTTTTTTGGTGTGAATTCACCGATTTAGTTGCCTTTTTGGCTTTATTGTGTGACCCTGTAACTCCATCTCATGCCGGTGAGTATCAGCTTCGTTTTATTTCTTAAACTTTGACGTTTAGAGGTTCGGCTACTCATTCAAAACGTGGCAGTAAAAACTGAATGGTGCCGTCGTGTAATGCGTCGTATCCGAAGAAACAGGAAACGCCATGGTTACCAATCTTCTATAGAGATAAAAACCAGGTGTTAATAAGATGCAAATTTCATCCTAGAGATAACAATCCTATATTACTATGACGCAAATCTAATTTTAAATTTTTTAAAACGATGTTAATAAGGTGAAAATTTCGCAATGTCTTTAACACTCTGAAGCCTTTGTGGAGCCGCTAATTAATCACGTGGACCAAAAAAGATTCTTGAGGTATTGCTCAACGCTTTTGGCAGAGTGATTATTGCCGTCATGAGTATAACGATTCATCTGGAAGATTTTCAAAGCTGGTCAGAAGTTTTTCAAGAAATAGAAAGACAAAGCAACATGAGGTTATATGAGATCATAAAGCCTAACACATCTGCTATCCGCTACAGAGAGAAAAGAGGATCAATCTTGGGGGTGAATGAGAGACGTCGAAGATTCAGTGAAACAGAAAACAGAGGCCACATCCCAAGAGAAGAACAGTCGCGTGTACGGCTTAGAAGCTCACCATGTACCACGATCAGTGAAATGAGGACTGATGATCCCGAAAATCTACAGCAAGATCCTCGATTCACAGATGCAGCAAGAATGCTGAGTAAGGAGGAAATGGCGTTATTGTATCAAGACATTGTTAAGCCTGTGGATGTCTATTCCATTTTGATAGAAAAACGGAAAGAGATGAGTGAAAGAAAATGAAGAACTTTACTATTGACTATAATGACATTAAGTCTGCATTTAATTTTTTTTCTAAATATAAACCATAAAAAGCATTAATTTGTTAAGAAAAAAAAAACACCCGATTAACATTAATCAGTAGAATAAAGTTAACGGTTTTGATACATGTAATAACTTTTTGTTTCTTTTAAGAAAACTTAAAACAACTAAAACATAATGTTTTGATACAATGCGCAGTTTTATCCCGCCCATGTCAAATAGATGTATATGCAAAATTTTAATAAGAGACTGGAGGTGCACGTTCCTCGAAAGGCCCGATAACTTTTCGGGCCCAAACGCAGATTTTTAAATCAAAGTCTGTTGAATCATAGTAACACAGTTCCTAGCTCACAAACCAGTAAAGCATTTTGTTTTGTTAACTGATAGTTTCACTGTATAATTTTCAATAAAATTTTCAATGAAAATTATTGAAACTTTGATCTTGAATGCAAGCATAGCGAACAGAATTTCTGAGGCCGAAAGTTACCGGGACTTTCGACTTACGGGCCCGATGACGAAAGCATAAAATGCCTTTTTTTCCTTTTGCTCGCGCCTTGGAAAATTTAGAAATAAACTGTGTATTTGTACGTCATGAATCTTGATTGAAGCAACCTAAATTATCAAGAAGTATTATAGTTTATCTATTCGCCTGTACGTAAGGATCTAATAAGCCTTTGTTGCTATTTGCGGATGGAAATGTATATAGTATCAGTCTGTAGAAATTATTACACACTGTCTAGAGTACTCAGTTTATCGTGCAAAGAAAAAAAAATAGCAAAAATCCTTTTTTGATTATTGAATTTGATCTTTGCTGCTGCTCTCGTAGCGCCAAATTAGCAAACTGACGTTAACCACAGGTCACCCAAGATAAGCGTCTGAATCGCAATACAGGCTAGGAAACTACATTGTTTGTGGGGGTAAAGTTGCGATGTTTACGTGCCTGAGAGAACCCT